TCCCCGCGGGCCGTGCCGTGCCCCGGCTTGCCTGGCTCCATCGGCTCGCAGCCGACATGCACGTTCCTGCAGAGACAAGCAGGGAAAAGTCCATCTCTCCTGGAGCCGGGGCTGTGCCCGAGCCTGGGATGGAGTTTTCCTGCTTTCCAGTGTGGATTTGCTGGGGTTTCTTGCTGGCAGCACTTGTCCGGACGGGAAGGTTTCTCTGGCATCACTTGGAATGATGCTGGGGTTGAACTCCCTCCATCCCTTGGCCCAAGCCCCTCTCCAGGTCTCCTGTAGCCCCTTTAGGAGCTGCTCCAAGTGTCCTCCTCCTTCTGGTCTATCCTTGTTTCCGGGTGGATCTCCCTTGGCTTTGCCTTATGGTTGTAGCTCGTGTCTGGAGAGATGGAGAGCAGGGATGGGTGGGGATGGGACCTGTGGGTGCCTCCGTCCTTGGGGCGAGGAGGGGCCGCACATTCCTCACCAGCACAGGGGAGGAAGAGGAGGAGAAACGTGGGGAAGGGGATGGTCTGTGGTTGGGAATGAAGCCTTTGAGATTCCCCTCTCCAGCAGGATTAACACTGTGGTTGATGATCCTAGAGGTCTTTTCCAAGCCTGGTGCTTTACTGCTGGATATGGGGTTGTGCCCCCCATTCCCGAGGGAATGTGAGGATGTTCTCACCCTTCAGCACTTCCTTCTCCTCGGGCAAGCCAGCCTGGCTGGTTTGGGATCGGGATCTGCAGGTGCTGCCAAGGGGAGGCTGGGATCCGGGGGGTCAATCCGGGTCTGGCCTGGTCGTTCCTGTTGGCCATGGTGCTGATGGTGTCCGTGTGTCCCACAGGATGGACAGAATGACAGAAGATGCTCTGCGCCTCAACCTCCTGAAGCGGAGCTTGGACCAAGCCGATGAGCGGGACGATGTCCTGGCAAAGAGGTTGAAGATGGAAGGCCACGAGGCCATGGAGCGCCTCAAGATGCTGGCGCTGCTCAAGAGGAAAGACCTCTCGGGCATTGAGGTGCCCCACGAGCTCCCGGTGAAGCAGGATGGGGTGAAGGGCTATGAGGAGAAGCTCAATGGGAGCCTCAGGCCCCACGGGGATGGCAGGACTGCAGGGAGGCCGGGGAAGGAGAACATCAATGATGAGCCGGTGGATATGAGCGCCAGGAGGAGGTAGGTGCCCACCAGCACGAGTGTGGAGCTGCCTCTGGTCAGTTCTGGGCTCTTCAGGACCTGGAGACCTGGTGTCTGGGAGGTCCCTTTGCCAGCACTCTGCTGCCCTTGGGTTTCCTGCTTATTCCACCCCACATCCACATGGATTTTGTTGCTTCCTCCATCCATCCGTTCAGCATTGAAAGATGCAGCCGTTGGGCCAGGTTGGACTCAACCTGCTCTAGTGGGAGGTGTTGGAGCTGGAGGATCTTTAAGGTCCTTCCCAACCCAACCCATCTGCTGAGTCCCTGGTTCCTTGGTGGCCCAGGTGGGTGCGTGGTCTCCGCCATTGAGGAATGTTGGAGGGAGCTGCTGGTCATTCCCATGCGGAGCTGCACTCCCAGGCCTGGAGGGAGATGCTGCTGCCCCAACCGGTTGACTTGTGTGTTGGCTGTGGTAGGCAGGAGGAGCCACCTTCACCTTCCCTGTTCTCCCTCTCCCTGCTCCTTGAGGAACCAGGGTTGTGATTCAGGAAAACCAGGATTGTTTGTCTGTGGTGCATCATGTTGGGGTCGTCCTGTGTTGCTGGTGGCTTTTGAACAAGCAGAGTGGGCTTTTGGGAGGCTCCTGCCCCAGGGGGGCTGCTGAGCTGGCAATAGATGGGGTTTACTCGTGTCCTGCTCCGAGTCCATCGTTGGGGTGTTGCTCCCCTGCAAAGCCCAATTCTCCCCCGACCCCCTGTGGGGGCACAGTGTGGGGGACACTCGAGCACTTGCAAAGGGCTTGAAGCTTCTGGGGTGTGAATGTTGTAAGAATGATGGTGCCGGGTGAGATACTGCTCCATGAAGTGGCTGGTGGGTGAGATGCAGGGAATCCAGCTGGATACCAGCACATCCAGTTGGGTACCAGCACATCCAGTGAGATACCAGCACATCCAGCTGGATACCAGCACATCCAGTGAGATTCCAGCACATCCAGCTGGATACCAGCACATCCAGTGAGATTCCAGCACATCCAGCTGGATACCAGCACATCCAGTGAGATTCCAGCACATCCAGCTGGATACCAGCACATCCAGTGAGATTCCAGCACATCCAGCTGGATACCAGCACATCCAGTGAGATTCCAGCACATCCAGTGAGATTCCAGCACATCCAGTTGGATTCCAGCACATCCAGTGGGTACCCGCCAATCCCGGGAGGCACC